TGAGCGAAATTTCCTTGATTTAAACTGAGCAATGTATTTTTCACGTGTAAAGCATGTTATAATGTTCATCTCTGGTTCAATCACTTCGCTTGACTGTTGGTAAATTGCGCATGGTGTTACTGAAATAGTCCGCCATATTGCAATAGCTAACAATTTCCGATAATCACCCGACTCGGAAACTCGTCACTAGTGCTCCTCGGGAGTACCTCTACCGTGGTTGTAGGATTCTCGAATTCTCGCACTTGTTAGCAGTTGAGTAGTTTTAGGTAAGTGTTCAGTAGGTGTTAGCAATTGCCTCATTATTTTGATTAAGGCAAGCAATAAAGAAAATAAATCCGAAAAACGTCCAAAAATTAATATCCCTATCTCCCCCAGGTAACAGACTCGTAAGCAAGTTTCTTCCCTCTTTACTTAGCTTGGAGGTAAAGGAAAAGCTGTAGTTTTATTACGCTTGATCATAAATTTAGAAGAGCCTGCTTAAAATTATTTCAAAAGATAGTTTTGAAGTGAACGTAAAGCGTCTGAAAACCGACAAAAAGATTATGTCGTTGTAGTAAAAACATCATCACCAGTGGAAATTTCCCAAACTCGTTTTTAAGGCCTCTCTTCCCCTCCCTCTCTCCACTCTCCTCCCCCTCCCGCATCAACCCACTGAGCGAAGGTGAGCGGGGGAATGGGGGAAGGAAAGTCGAGAAACTTCCTTCAGCACATCAGGATCAAAATACGCTTCTAGGAAAAAGGCTGGAAAGTCTTAATAATTCACGTAATATAATGGGACATATCTGGACCCTTCTCTGTTTCTTGCAAGTCAGCTTTACCGAAAGGAGTTTATTGAGACAACGTGGACCAACGTAGGTGAGTTCGAGCGTTCAATATACGTTACAACTAAGAAGAAAAGTCATACAAATTCATCTCCAGCCAACCAGATCAAGGAATTTTAGCTCAGATTTAATCACAAAATTTCAAAGCGATTAATATGACTATGATCCAACTTGAGATGTAAGATGGCAGAGATCTTTGATTATATTTATCTGCATTATATATCTAATATATTGTGGGGATAAGACCAACTACAAGAGAGAAGCAAACTTAACTCTCTGCTCAAACTCAAATGGAATTTAGGCGACACTCAACTCAAGCTCTAACTTTATCGTCCATGTCTTTCCTACGTCATGTTAAGGCAGTTGCAGAAGGTTAGATAAGAAGACGAAAATACAACGCATACGTTAATTATCAGTGAAGCATAAAACTTCCCTTTTAGCAAAACAGGAATTCAAGTACTTTGTATCACAACAAGATCAAAATGCATGGTTTGTGTCATGAAAACTTTTAACGTATACTTCATTCGGGAGATGTCTTCTATCTTGCGATTTATAGCTTTAATTGACGCAATCAAATTTTCAGCGTCATGCATACTTTCACCGTTCTAAAGTGCTGCATTGTAATTACAGGTCGGATTGTAAACAAACTCTCTGGCGAACAGAAATATTTTACATAAATTCGAATTTGATTAATATAAACTGATAGATTTAGATACTTATGTGATTCATAGGCTAAGCTAGCGGTTAGAACTGAAAATCTGTTAGGACTGTTGAATATGAAATGGTCCAACAGTCTGCCTAAACACCGCTACAAAAGTATGCAGATCGAATTTTGTTTGATCGACCAAAATATTTTGTCGGGTCGGTTTTCTTTGGCTAAGTTCAGCGATCAAACCCAAATAACTTTGAACTAAATGGCGTCTGAACACAGTATTTTAGAAGCTTGTTCAACATTTATCAATAGGAGTTTCAAATTCTGTAATTAAAAATCAATTTAAAATTATAAAAATTAAACGAACTTGATACGGAGGCGATGCTGACGAGACATTAGCGGCGTCTAAACATGTACCATCGGCATTGAACTTCCTTTTCAGCAATTCAGGATTTAACAAAATAACCACAGAAAACAAAACAGGAAGCACTTTACAGGCCATTTCATTGATTTTCTAGCAATGACGTAAACCCATTATGACTACAGCTTTCCACTCTATTGATCAGACTTTCGAGCGGAAACTGCCGAAAAATTTTGTCAACGCTCGCTTGATGATATGGAACAAGCTAAATTTCAGGTTTTGTGAGAGGAGGGATGAGCAGTTAGTGCTGTTGTAGAATTTCATGGTTAGCTCCTTTTGGGGAATCATGTCATTAAAAAGCAAGTCAGGCATCAGTATTGTTAAGTTAGTCGTGTTGGTATTAGGTTGCAGAAACTTTCAATACTGCGGTTGCAATAGATTTAGATACTTCTGTGATTTATAGGCTAAGCTAGCGGATAGCACCGAAAATTTGTTAGATCTTTTGAATGAAATGGTCCAACAGTCTGCCTAAACACCGCTACAAAAGTACGCAGGTCGAATTTTGTTTGATCGACCAAAATATTTTGTCGGGTCAGTTTTCTTTGGTTAAGTTCAGCGATCAAACCCAAATATTTTTGAACTAAATGGCGTCTGAAACAATATTTTTAGAACTTTGTTCAACATTTAAAAATCAATTAAATCAATCAATTAGAAATAATAAAAATTAAACGAACTTGATACGGAGGCGATGCTGACGTGACATTAGCGTCCAAACATTTACCACCGGCATTTAACTTCCTTTTCAGAAATTTAGGATTTAATAAAAAGGGAAATGATGATTTAACTAGAATATTTCTCTCGGTTGATATCTCGTTGAGTTCTCGTTGCAGTCGCCGTCCTGATGTTACATAAGGTCTGTTATTGTGTCACGGAAAAAAATAACCAGCATGTTCCCTTCTTTCAGTGACTGAAGAGGTTACTTGCTAACTACCTAGCTGTAGGTAGACTCCTCTCTTTCCAGTCGGATTGATAATCGAGACTTTCGTATTTACGGTTTACAAAACAGAGTCAAAGTGTTTTAGGTAAGTCTTGCGCATAATGCTAACTGAAATGCCTTGAACGTTAGAATTACATAAACTCCTGTCCACAGACTCTTTCAGTGGCAAACCTCTCAAAATTTAATTATAATGGGAGGGGAATAAATGAAAAGAAGAAATTAATAGCTAATTAGTTGGTTTGTTAAGGACACTAGCTAGAAGGCTCATTTTTATTTAATTGATTATTGATTAGTTTAATAATTTCAGAGTGACCCAAGATACGAACATAGTTACCTTGTTCATCTGTTTGTTTGTATTTCTATTGGTTTTGTAATCGGAGTTTAGCGTCCATGTAATCAGTTATTCGTAAATTTTTGAGTAGTCTTGGTGAACTTTCGTCGTTTCATTTTTTAAAGCGGGACCGATAGGTGGGTTTCTTGGTAACTTTGTTTGTCTGGGTTTAGTTTTTCAGCATTGGGCGAAAGTATACAGACAGATAATTTGTTGTATTGCTGTATTTTCAATTGATTCGAGTTTTAGATGCCAAATTGTATCGGATGCAAGAGAACGCTCACCACATAGATAGGAACAATGGGCTGTTAACGAGCCAGTAGATTCTTGTAATTTTTGTACCGAAACTTTTGTATTTTAACGTAGTTTGTATTGGTTTATTTGTATTGTTTATTGTCATTTTAATCTCGTTATTGGCGTTAAGCTCAGTTTTTTACACGTGATTTCTGATTACGTATTTTCAACATTTCATTAGATTGATAGAACTTCGCATGTTAAATTAATATTACATATACAGTATTACATATACAGAGCACTGGTCTACCCTCTCTAAAACTGTATCCTTCTTCTCGCGCGTCAGGCCACTTCG